ATTAGAGAAAATCCTCGAGAGATGGATTAGCAGTCAAAGCTGAATGCTGAAGGTAATGAATTGTTTGATTCCCTATCAGGTGTGTATACTTTCTCTTTTCTTCTGCATCAAATTTGAGGTTACTGGAAACAAACCAACTAACAACAAAGAACAAAGGAAGAAAGAACAATTTAGAACAATCACATTTTCCACAGTACCAGCTAAATAAATGCTCAAACAGGCACCTGGATATGCTTGCCACTTCCAAAAAATGAGATAAGGATGAGAGATAAGCACCTTCCTTAAACAGCATTTTTAGAAACCATTCAGCAGGTAGTAGCAGATTACACTGGTGTGAGATTCTTCATCACTTCATGCAGAGGAGGATGGTCAGTATTTTAGTGGAGGAGTGGAACATGGAAAGCCAAAACCTTGCTGGAGTTGGAACTGAAGGACGTGAAGGGGAACATAAAGAACTTCTACAGGTGATTTGGCAGCAAAAGGAAGACAAGCAATATGTGGGCCTGCTGCAGGACTGGGTGATTAAACTGGCCATAAAGGTCAAGGAAAAAGAAGAGACCTCTTTCATCTTGGACTTTGCTGGATAAAAACCCTTTCCCATCTCCCAGGGTTCTGTGGCTGGCAGCAGGGTTTGGGCAGGGGAGGGAGCTCCCCACAGAAAGTCCGCTCTGTCAAAGTGGGCATATCCAAGTCCACTGGGCCACATCACACTCATTGGAGTGTTGAGGGAGCTCTCCAGTTTTATTTTGTGCTCACACCCTGTGACATTGGAAAGTCCATGATATTTAAAGACTGCAGGTGACTGAACAAAGGCTAAAAGTTACACATTTCAGTTCAGTTGTGTCTGACCCAGTGTCACTGACTTTGGGCTTAGTGAGCATGGACAATGCAGAGGATGTAATTCAAGCTTGTTTTTAAGAGGGCTTTTGGTGGATTTCCTCAATAACCTTGTAACTGGGGAGATTTGAGTGGGGTGGGCAGAAAAAACTGTCTGTACCCCCAGGCTTGAAGGTTGTGAAGGTTTGAAGTCTTGTCTGGAGGGATCAGTACTGGAGCGAGTCTCGTTTGACAAGGTCACCACGCAGGGGGTGGTACAGAGTGCACCCTCAGCAAGTTTCCAGCTGCTCCCCTTGCCAAGCTGGGGAGATCAGCTGCTGCACAGGAGGCCACCAGTCAGAGCAGGCTTGCCAAGCTCCAGGAGAGGGCCAGTGAGAGCCTCCAGCTGGTCAACAGAGACGGGCAAAGTCCTGAATGTGGGACAGGCTGCAGGATGCTGAGAACCAGTTGGCTTGGAAGCAGCCCAGCAGAAAAGGGCCTGCCCATCCTGGTGGACAAAAGAAATTCCTCATGGGATTCCAGCACCTGCAGGGCTGAATTCTCCATCTAGCCAGCAGGAATGAGCTCTGTGTGCAGCACTGGTGAGGCCACACTGCATGCACACTGTCCAGTTTGGGAACAGCCAGTTCAGCACAGGCTGTGAGGGGCTGAAGTTCATGCTGTGTGAGGAAGTGGGTTTGGCCACAGCAGGATCTAATTACAACATGCACCTTCCCAAAGAGAATTATAGGGAAGATGGCACAAGGCTTTTCTCTGAGATAGTCACCAACAGGATGAGAGATAAAAGTGAGAAGCTGCACCCAGAGATATCCCAATTGTGTGCAAGAAAACGAAAGTTCAAAGTGAGAGTGGTCAAGCAGCAGAACGTTTTCCCTGAGTGGCTGTGTATTTTCCATCCTTGGAAACAAAACTAGACAGGAAAAGACTTTGAGCAACCTGGATTATCTTTGAAAATAGCTGTGGAGAGAGCCGGAGGTTGAACCTTTATAATATCTAGCCCAACTTTAATTTTACTGTGATTATAAATATACTTTCTACAAGACTATCCTTGTGTTGGTGGGGTACAGTATTGGTGACTGGATAATTGTTATGTCTCAGGGGTTACTGATATTGTATCCCAAAGCCATCATGTTGCTTTGTAGCTGAGCTTGCATAGTGAAGATAAGGGCAGTAGTGCTATCGTTGCAACCTATTTAAATATTAGGTAATCACACAGTGTCTTCTGTCCACCAGATTCATGTGCTTACACTGATGTTGACCTCTGCCCTCTCCTGGGTAAGCACAGCGTGCTGTGGTCACCAAAATAAATGTCAGAAAGAGCCAGGGATCCCATGTGGTACAGAACGTCCTGTTTAATGCCGGGTGTGTCGTGTCATTGCATGGTCAGTGCAATTTCTCGTAGGGAGAGCACACCTGGCATGGATTCTCCTGCATTTCCATTGCCACAGGTGTTTTCTGGATGTGCAGGATGTATTGGAGAGCTCAGACTTCTCTGTAAGGACAGACAAAACATGCATGTGCAAAAGGTGTGCTGCCAGGCTGGTACTTACTGTGCAACTTCTCTGAGCAAGACAATATTGCATATGCTGTGAGTCTGACATGTCAGACTTGCTTTGCATGCAGGATTTATCTGTCTGGGACTATTGTAGGTATCACCTTGCAAAATCTGTCTATGTATCCTGTGATGTATCAGGCATTTTCAGATATATTTAGGAGTCAAGTGTGGCCAGGATTTGAAAAGACAGCAGGCCACCATGTCAGTGCTGCAGTGGATTGCACTGGACAGAATAACAGCATGCTTGGATTTTTCTTTTTTTTCCCTCCACATCTTGGTAGGTGTAATTGCTCACTCTAACACTTATGAAATCCCCTTCTGACCACTGTGTGCAGCAGGAGCTGGCAGATGTTCACAGAAAAGCCAATCACTGAGTTTATTCCATGGAGGATTCCAAGCTTCTTGTTTCTTGTGGTCTGTGCTCCTTAATATCAGAGTGTCGATTTCATGTCCAGCTCTCAGATGGGTTATTGGTGTTTTTGTGTGAGATTAGATTTGTCCTGCTGTTGTTGTAGTTATTTTACTTTTCCTACTTGAGGGCTGCTCCCCTGCCTTTTATTTTGTGCTGGCTCTCAAGGCAATTGTTATTTCAGCCTTGTTAATTGTGTCTGCCAAGTCCCACAAAGCTCCTAGAGCCTAACCCTGAGTGGGGTGGCACACCATCTTCTATTGCCTATCCTTGGAATTAGGAGCTGTCTCTCCCAGAATGACATGTACACTTGGCCTTGCTCTAGGCAGCTGCAATGAGCTCTCACACCTGGAACTGAACATTCAAGACCAGGCATGTAGACTGCAGTATCTCATATCCACTCTGGAATGGGCAGAGGGGAAACTATTACGTAATCACCAGAAGATTACATCTTAACATTGGGCTTGTGAATAGCTCCTTGGAGCCCTGGGATTACTTACTAATTTTTTCCTCTTCTTAATCAGAAATATATGGTGTTCCAAGTCCGTGTTTAAAAAAGCAAGTGAACCAGACCCTCCTTACTCTGGGCAAGGGATTAAAGGCCAGTGTCACCAGAATGTCATTTAAGTGCCCCTTATTTTAAGGGAAATCATTACTTTTTCTTGTTACTGTACCTTAACTTAAAATACAACTTCCTGTACAAGCTCCTCCTCCCTTGTTGGTGCATAGTATTTACATCAGAAATAAAGAGCCACAAAATTAGAGAAAAGATTCCTTTTTGTGGCTCCACACATTTATGTAGTAAAAAGTCTTCACCACTTCATCTAATGTTTTCTGGTACATCAGCTCTGGCTCTTACTCTCAGACTTAGGACCTCAGGAAGTTTCAAATACCTACTCTGATAAAGAACCCAAGGCACCAGCATTAATCCAGCACAAAAACACTTTTTCTGCATGCTTGAAAGAGGGTGTTGTTCCAGAACTAGACTGGCCTGAGATGCAGGAGTGGGCAGGAGCCTTGTATGGTACTGAGGACTGATCACTCAGGCTTTCAGGAGGATGCTCGTGCAAGACTCCAGTTCTGTCTGAGGCTAACACCAGATGTTAAATCCATGTGATCCAATAACTTTTAAACATCACATTTTAATTTCCAGAAGAGTTACTTCAGATCCTTTTCCAAAGGCTCTTAGTATCACAGAGTTCAGGTTTTTTGTCTTTGACAAATATATTTGGGTCTTTTGTACTAAACCAACCTGGTTTCTCCAATTAAAACTGTAACATTCACCAAATTTTCTATAACACTTAGGCGTTTTCTGAAGAGGGTACAAGAGATAATTTTTTACTAAGATGTATTTGGAGCAACTAATATACCTTATTTGAATCTTTGCCTCATAAATGATATAATAATTTAAAACACATGCAGATTAAACCTTTATGCTTTTGTGGCTTCTCTCTTAAAGAAGAGTGCCAAGAGGGTTTGTGAAGCGTGGTGTGGAAGGTAGGATTTACTGATGTGCATTTGGCTGCATTACTCATCACCAGTTGGACTAATGGGCAGAACACCCCAGATATTGTCATTCCTATTTTTATCCAGCAGGACATGTTGATACAATAGGCACAATTCCATCTGTAGAATTTCTGTGGGAGTTCCTCATTTTCTATAAATACCAACACCTTTTTTGTCAGTAACTCTGACTTATTTAATAGCACTTCCTCAGAGCACCCTGTCTGAGAGAGGAGTGTGTCCTGCTGGATACTGCCAGTGCTGGGAGGCATGGTGGGAAGGAATTCCAGCTGGAAGGAGGAAAGGGGAGTTTTGTAAAATTAGCATCAAAGGCTGGGTCTTTTAAATATTTCAGTGCATGCATAGACATACTTCTGTGGGCAGCACTGTTTACTGCATTTTCACAGTTGGAACCTGGTTTTATAGATTATAACAAATCTGTCACCTCTGAGTAACTAATTATATTGCACACCATGGCCTTTCAAAGCCTCACAAATGCATCCTGAAGTGAGCTCAGGCTTTCTGTCATGAAAGACAAAGACTCCTCTCCCTGAAGCTAAAAGAATACCCATGTGTTGTTAGGAGGCCTCTGCCAAGGATGTGCAGTGCCAAAGACACAGCTGAACAGAACTAATTTCATTTTGCCAGGAGCATTGACACAAATGCAAAGTAGGTAATAAATAAATAAATAAATCTGCTTGATAAATCTGCTTTGCTGTTATTGTAACAACAGTGTTAGCAGGAAAACCTTGGTGGAATTTTCTTTTTGAAAAACAGAGCTCATGGCATTAATCTAGCCTGACTTTGTACATCTCTGAGTTAAGCAGTTGGCCTATCTATTTTCCTAGGCTTCCTCTGGAGAGGTGGAGGCAGCCACAAAGGTGATTCATCTCAGATCCTTATCATGGGATGGGATGGGATGTGTGACACTGCAGGAGCCTAGCCCAGCGAGGTTAGAGCACATCACTCACTTGTAGGTGAGTAGAGTTGAAAGAGGTGAGTTCTGGCCTACATTCTACCACTGTGGTTGTAAATTTGGAAATTCAAGGAGTGTCATATTGGCTGTGAGATGCCAGTGTGCCACTGACACCCTCAGTGAGCTGTGGCAGGGGAGCACTTACTCCCATGTTACTGGGAGGGCAGCCTGTGGATTTTGGAGCTGTACCATCACATCCCTTCTTGGTGATCTGTCATCATGGCTCCTAAGACCCAGCTGTGGGAGGAAACCAGCCAGGGATGTTCAGGCCAGTATTGACTGGTCACCTGAAGGAGCAGAAGGTCTCCAGGGATGTCAGGAAGGATCCAGGATGACCTTTGGGCATCTCTGAGGGTCTAGACCTACCACATCTTCTCTTAAAGCTGCTCCCAGGGCTCTCCATCCTCCTGATTCTTCAGGGGATGTTTCTTGTGACCCTTGGGCCTAGGTAGAGCCTATGTGCAGTTCATTAGGTAGTAAAGGGTAGTCACTGATGCTTAATTAGTTTTGTTACTTTAAAAATATGCACACTGTTAAAATTATTATGGAAGTAATAATTAGATGAACAAAAAGCAAGGTGAAAGCTTAAAAAGCTTTCCTGATTAAGTGCAGTAAGCATTTTGTGTATACAGAACTGCCAGCAGTTTCTCTCCCCACCATCTCTCATTCTTTGTAAAAATAAAGAAGAAATACAAGTAATCCATCTTAAAAATAAAGCCTTTTTGACAAAACTCTAAAATAGGCACTTTTGTTCACTAAGCCCATTTTTCATATTAATTTTTGTATTTTATAAGGTCAATTACCCATAACACATACTTGCATGCCTTCTTCAACAATATTTTGATAGCATTATTTCAACACTAAGAGAATTAGGATCATCTACTTCATTGTTTTTAGGATCATCTATTTCATTTTTCATTTTAGGATATCTGCAAAGTTTTACTATGCAGATATCCTAAAATGTCTTGTATGAGCACATTATGACTTCACTGAAATCTTATGAGTTATTTGATGCTAAAACACCCTTAATCTGTCTTCTACACAGAATGAATATATTACTCTACATCTTGCTTTTATAATGTATTAAATATTTGTGTTTTATCAATATTAACAAAATATTGATAATGAAATACATTTTGCAAATATTAAGTGCATAATAAGATGATGCTACTTCTTATATGATCAAAATTTTGTCATAGGAATAGCAATTTTAGCTGTCTTTCAACACCTTTAAAGGTTTTTATCATTTTACCTATATAACACAAATACCTATAAACATTAATTTAAATTGTAAATAATTTAATGTGTAGAACAAATTCTATGGATATTCATTCTGGATTTTTTTGACTGAAAGACAGTAAATTGAGGCAGATTCATATTGTCAACAACTGCTTCCATGACTTGGCTTTTGAAACAAGCCTTGATGAATAATATTGCATAGTTATTGCACCATCAAGCATTTTCAAAAAATAATTAAAATAGTAATTTCTTTTTAATGAAAACGTCTAGAATGCTCAGCCTGCTGAATTTTACATTGGGCCTTTGTATTCCTTAGGGAACAACACTAGCAATGTTTCAAAAGGGAGCATTTTCAGGGGCAAGGCAATATAAAACCTCTGAGATGGGGAATTTTTGCTGCTTGGATAAACATAATCAAAAATAGAATAGTAGAAATCATGTCTTCTGTGGTGTTCAACCTGTGCTGATTTCTGCTTTTTGTTTCCTTATCAGTGGATATCAGACTGATATCAGTCTTCTCATTTCTAAAGTTGTTTTTGTTATGAGTCTTCAAGTTCACCTGAATAATTTTCATTTGTCATTACATTGGATTTCTCTTTGTCCAGATCAGGCTGAAATTTTTTCTTTCAGTTTTCCTCCAAGGTTTTCACAGGGAGGAAAGAGGACTATTCTGAGTGACACTGGTGTGCAAATAAATAACACTGAAACTTGGAAGAGTGTTAATTAAAAATTATTATAACCTGACTGACCTGACTTGGCACCATGGTATCTCGCCAAACTGGCTCCTTATTCTTACACGTGTCTGGTTTGTGTTTGTGGTGTGCAGCTAATGAGCTCATGGAATTGTTTGGCCTAATCCTGCTCTCTTTACACTGCAGAAGTGTTCTGTGAGGAAGAACAAGGAGCATCAAAACGAGGAACAAGAACAAGGAATATTAAAATGAGGTTCACTGGGTATGACTCGTGGTGATCAGCCCAGGTAATATTTGGTATAGAGTGCTATTTTAATGAATTCAGGTAGATGACATATTGAGGCTGTTGTTTGTTTACCCAGATGAGATTTACATTGTTTTAACACTGGCTTACACCTGTGTGTAAGCTCTGTTGGCTTCAGTGCACATTTTTTGTGATTCTTACCTGTGTGGGGCCACATAGGTTCCACTGAAACAAATCAGAATGTGTTTAATGATGTAATTAATCAATAATAATGTGACACTCAATTTGCTGTGACTTCTGATCACATTGCCGTCATTTTAGCTCTGCAGAAGAAGAACAATTTGGGTGGTTGTGAACAAGAAGAACTGGAATCTTAGAGACGTCTCTCAGTTAAAAGAGAAGCAGATCTTATCTTTATATCCATTTGTGCTACCTAGACAGCAGAAGGCTGTTTCTTAGAGTCTTTGAAGTGAGATGGATCTAACAATTGTCCTGTTCCTCACTGCCATTCCCAGCGGAACACTGGGCTGTGGGCTGGGGCTATGGAAGGTGCAGGTGTCCCACCTCAGCCCTCCTTCCCAGCTGTGCTCATTCCAGGGTGGAGCACCCTGGTGACACACCTCTGCAGCATCTTGTTTGGGAGTTACTTGGTAACTTGCTGTGCTGAGCTGTGCAGCCATATCCTGCATTTAACTATAGGGTTACATGAGTAATAATTCAGGCAGTTCAACCAAAGTTATTGAGAATATGTGGCACAGGTGATGCAATTGCTAAACACACGCTGTGGGACCCCACTCTGTGGCCAGTTCTGTGTTCAGGAATTGTCACTGTGGTTTGACATGTGACCAGCACATTCTCAGTATGTTTTATCACACTGTCCTTTTTTAACATCTCCTTTTTTTCATAAATTTTTGTAATATTTCAAGAAGAATGCCTCGATTATTCCCTCTGTTTCCTGAGGTATGCAGTAGTAGCCACAGTCTGACATTACATTACACTGCATTATTTACAGTACATAAATGCAATGTTTTAATGTCCATGTACCAGTAATCCCATCAGATCCAGACAAAGTAGATATTTAGATATTTAGACTTTTGTAGATATTTAGTTTGAATTTAAGTCTTTCCATGCCCCTGCAAGCTTACAGTTTAGAAAGAGGAGACAAAATGGAAAGGTAACATGGACAGAACAGGTTGAATAGGGGGGAGTTCCCTCCCTCCCCTGTACATTTAGTCTTAATGTTGGCATCAGTCTTTCAAACTATTGGAAGGGAAATTATTGCTGAGAAGTGATGGGAATGGGAAAGGAAAGACAAATAGTGGCACAGCAGTGTAAAGAGAAAGAGCAGAAAGAATGAATTTGACTCAGAGAAGCTTTTGGTGACTGACTTCATAGAAATAATACAATAGAAAGTGGAGAAAAAGTCCATGGTCAAATCACATGAGGAGTCAGTCCAAAATTTCCAAATAGGTCGCTGATGTTTGCTGGCAGCTTTTAACTTCAGCTGGAAGAAAAGAGCCTCTTTTCTGCACAAACCAGAATTAATCTGTAATGCTTTTCTCCTCCAACTCAAGTGACTTGTGTTAAGAGGGCAGCTTTGGGACAAGGACCTTGGACCGAGTCCTGTTTGGGTACAGTGGAAAATTTCCAGCTGTATTTTAAAGCACCATTCACCTCTTGTGTCTGAGCTGTTAATTTGCAGTGGGGTCACTCCCAGCTTCCACTACTGCTAGGACATTATTGGTCTAAATAACTGCACCTGCTATGGTAATGAAAGTGTGCGGAAAAGCTCAAGTAATTTAGAAAATTGTGTATTGTGTTGGGGTGCCAAGAAGGACAGAAAGGTGCAAGTGGCAAGAAGTTGGTCAAAAGAAATGGGGATTTCAGATCACTTGCTGTATTATTGCCACAGTGTTAGCAGTGCTGCTAATGCTTTCAGTATTTTACTGACTCTATTCAGCTTTGTAGTTGAATGTGTGGCAGAGTGGGAGGGCTTTTTGACTAAGAGAAGGCATTGGAATAATGTTTATTTTTTAAGAAGTCCTTACTATTTTGCTGGCAGGTTTTTAAGATTCTGAGATTTGTTTAAGACCAATCCCTAGCAAAAAAAAAAAAAAAAAAAAAAAAAAAATAGGTCATTAGGCATCTTTGGATCAAAATATCACAGGAGAACAGAACTTTAAACAATCCATTCCTTGCTCCAGTCTGCAAACATGAATCATACCAACATGATTCCTGATAAATGTTTGTCTAAAAGTCTTTTGCAGCCTCCTCAAGCAATCTATTCAAGTCCTTATTATGCCTACTGGTAAAAGAAGCCATTTCTAATGTCTAGTCTAAAACTCCCACCTGCAGTTCACACCCATTACTTCTTATCATGCCATGCTGGGCATGAAGAACAGCTTAATTCTCTTCCTCTCTGCATCCATCTTTTATGTATTAGATAATGCTTGCATTCTCCTGCATGTGCCTTTTTCTATGCAGCTGGACTTGGATGAATATAGATTAAAAGGGAATAAAAAAAAAGAAAAAAAAATTCACATTTCTGGCTGAGACAGTCATTTTAGCTGCTCAGGCAGCAAGTGGCTGAAATGGAGGAGTTAGAAAATGCTGGGCAGGGCAGGGTGATTTGCTAGAGAGAGAGAGAGAGAGAGAGAGAGAGAGAAGCTGGTGCCTGCCATGTGTTGCATATCTCTCATGACAGTGCCTGTTTGGCCTTTCTGTCTCACCTGCCCATGTCTCAGCCTGCATCTCTCACCTGAACTGTGGCCAGGAACTGTAGGTGCTTCTGTGGAGCCTGATTTTCAGGGATCAGGTCAGTTCTCTGCTTCCATTTTTGAAGATGGGTAAGAAAAAGTAGGGAATGAGCAATGTGGCAGCTGGTAACTGACCCACACTCCTTAATTCAGCCCTCAAAGGTCACTCCAAGATACAGGAAATATCCATGAAACGCCTTCCTCCTTCTTTCTTCACATCTTACAGGTCCTGGCAAAGATCCCCAAGACTCTGCTGTCCAGAATTATCCCAAATATGAATCCTTGAGTGCTCTTAGCATCTGCTCCAGACCAGCATCTCTTAGCACAGGTATGACAGAGGCTTCCCAAGGATCCTGCAGACATTCCAAGGCACTTGGGGGCACCAATCCTTTGGCTGTCCACTCTGTCTTCTCCCAAGTGTCCCACCCTCATCTCATGGGGATTTTGGGAAGTGAGCAGACCTTTGTTCCTTTGGGGCTTACAGCTGAATGAGGACACAGAGCAGTTAGCATGATATAAAGCTGTTATTTGCAAATCTGAATAGTCACTGGAGTAATATTTTCTTTTCTGTGATTTACTTTTAAATTAAGAAAACTCATGTTCTCCTGCTAGTTGTGTGATTATGAGAGCTGGGACCTGAAGCATAAGGCTATAATGCTATTTATCATGCCGAAATATTTAGAGTGAATGGAATTCTTAGGAAGTGGAGAAGACATAATTGTTTCTCATGTCAATTTTTGAAAGAGAAAGCCTATGGAATTTTTTCCTCAAGTCCATGAAATCTAAAATTAGCTCATTCCAATAGTTCATTGTGAACTTCACAAATGTGCAGTATGACAAAATCTTACCTGTAGGCCACATTTGAAAGAGAAATCTCCATTTTGCTACATTTTTAAAAAGAACACAGTTTGTATTTACTCCAATTTTTTTTTAATTGAGGAAAAATTTTTATTTATTTTCACCTCTCGGAATGGGAGTGGGTATTAGCATTACAGATATAGGAATTGGTTTTACCTCTGATGATATGAATCCCAATTGAAATGAACCTGGAAAAGTCCCCCAAGCATTTTCTGTTGATAACTGTGACACCCAGTGGTTATTTAAAGAAGTATAAAAATGTAGTACAGTAATCCTAAAGGCTGCACAAAGTACTGAGGTTTATACAATAAATGTGTGCTTTTAGAGTAGTACTCTTTGGTTATGTGTTCAGATACTAAATTTAAGCTACTTTAGGAGTTGTGAGGCTTTAATCCATTAGGTTTATGTTTTGTCATATTTAAAAATACACACAAACATATACAAACATATAAATATATTTATGTATTTACTTATAAAAAGCTTTTTAATACCTTGTGAGGCTGCGTTTATAACTCTGCTGAAACACTGACAAAAAGTAGCGATGAAGGATGAAATGGCTTTTAATTCTTGCTGGGGAGAAGCTGGCTCAGAAGAAATCTGGCAGATAAAGGAACCTTGTTTCCTCTCCTTTGTTTGCCACTGACTCATTGTGTGGCTTAGAACAAATTGCTTGTGTGCATGGCTGATAAGTGCTTCAGTCTGTTCACAAAGGTGCAAGGTGTAATTAGTATTAATCTAGGTGGCATTCACTTCCAACCATTTATGCCAGAGTCAAGAATGATTAAGTTACATGCTGTGTATAATGCCTCATATTTATATTCCAAAGCATAATATTACTTTATGAGCTGTGTTTTATTACAGGGCACTGAGTACAGATTTACTCCCATATTCCTGGTAAATGAGAAATTTATTGTTTAGGGATCGCTGCCCATTAAATATTTACTCTTGGTGGCATGTTTAAAATAAAGGAATGCTGTTAAAATTCAGAATATCAGTGCAGTGGACCAAGCAGCAGGTGTCCATTAGAAACAGATTACTGTATCTATTGTTTGGGAATGTCTCAGGGAGCTGCTGAAGCTTTTTTTCTTACAGGTAAGAAGAGTTACACAGCAAAAGGGGCAATGTTAGAAGGCATCTCCTTATAATCCTGGAGATCAGACAGAGCTGCAAATCAGTTTCTGCCTAAAGCCCTGTCCTGGCTGCATTATCTGTGTTATACTGCATGTCTCAGCAGTGCTCTTCAGCTCCCTGAGTGTGTGTGTGTGCCTTGTCTTCATCCAGAACTGGGGTGACATCTGCATTCCCACCCTTTACTCATCTCTACCCTGAGATGGTGCTCACAGGGGTCTCAGGATGAGGGAAGAGATGAGGATCTGACTCCATGTTTCAGAAGGCTGATTTATTATTTTATGATATATATTACATTAAAACTATACTAAAAGAATAGCAGAAAGGATTTCCTCAGAAGGGCAGCTAAGAATAGAATAGGAAGGAATGATAACAAAGGCTTGTGGCTCGGCTCTCTCTCTGAGTCAGCTGGGCTGTGATTGGCCATTAACCAGAAACATCCAATATGGGCCAGACAAGGATCCACCTGTTGCATTCCACAGCAGCAGATAATCAATGTTTACATTTTGTTCCTGAGCCCTCTCAGCTTCTCAAGAGGAAAATTCCTAAGGAAAGGATTTTTCATAAAAGATGTCTGCGACACTACCCTACCCAGTTTTCATGCAGGGAAGCTGCAGCCAGAAGGGGAGAAATGAGACATTCTGGCAAGTGCAGCCATATCAGGGTGAGGAGAGAAGCAAGACACACATACACAGAAACACAAGCTGAATGGCTGTGCTGCAGCATCACTTTGCAAGAACATCAATATTATCTATTTCACACTATTTTTTTATTTTTATGATCATCAGTGTTTCATACTTATTATGAAACACTCATATAAATTCATTATTTCATATTGTTTCATATTTAATATGAAAGCCTCACATGAAATATTGAATTGTCATAAGATCCTTAAATGCTCAATTCAGGATAAAAATACCTTAAAAGAACTGCACATGTTGGAGCTAAACTTGTTTATCATGAAAAAAAAGCAGGGTTTTGATGTTATTACTTGGAATTCTGTAACATTTAGTAGTCCTTGTTTCACACCTGCTGCCCAGTCTTTACAAGGACACAAAGAGATCGAAACAGAAGAGTGAAAATTAAGTAATGCTTGATAAAGTGCAGTGTTTACTCTGCTGCTAACAGATTGTCACCTGTTGTTGTTAAGTGCAGGATGAAGAGTGCTTTTGTCTTCCAGCTTCTGGTAAGAACAAATGTATGTGATAAAATGTTCTAACAGAAGAATATACCCTGGTGCTTACTGATATATTAGCATATGTCCTGATTTAGTCTCCAGAAGGAGATGGTGAACAGACCTTTTGCTCTTTAACCTAGTCCTGATATGGATATGCAGAAATTTGGTTTTGCTTGGTATCCCTCCACTGTTTATTCTTTACTCAAATTACTTGAATTCTGAATTCTGGCTCTGGGTCACTGATGCCTACCTTTGGTTTGATTTTTTGCATTATATGTAGCTCATTTCAATCCTTCCACTAGTTTGGCTGGTTGATTGTGTTGGGTTTTAGTGTTAAAAATTTTGGTTTTATTCCTCAAAGACTGGACAAGTCATGTTAAAAACCAGTTTTTCTTCTGCTTTTTTTATGGCATATTTTGTTAGCCAGCATAAACAAAGCCTAGGGCAATTTGCCATCCTATTCTAGACAGGATGTCCAACAAGTGGAGTAAGTGCAAAGTCTTCTGTTTACACTGTGAACTGAGTTTGGACTTTTTTGCTTCCCTGTTCTGGGTTCTTTGTCCCAAAAGTGTTTTCTTATCCTATAAGGAGAAAACTAAAACTCACAGTGCACAAATCTGCATTTTTAGGTAAAATATGTGTAGTAGGTGGAAGAAATGTGTCCCAATACTTGGGTTACAGGAAAAGGAGTATGCTGAGGGAAGGAAGAAAGAAGTCTGCCATGTATGTAGATATTCACCTTAGGTTCTGTTGGGAAGTTGGGAAGAGCATACTTGAAAGACATGAAAGTGATGTGCTTTATCCCTTCCCACACACTGGGGCTTGGCATGGCCTGGAAGAGTCTCCCAGTAATTGTTATTTATGGCTGTGCTGCATCTCTCCAGTGGCTCATGAAGTGCCTCTGGTGTCTCAGTGAAATGGAATGTTTCAGATACAGACATGAATATCATAAAACACACTTTTCCCAATAAAGCTACACGCCTGCTGATTAGCCAGTGCCCTGAGGTCTTGTGATAATAAGATGTGACTTCAACCTCCACACTCATCCCTCTGCACGCCTCCCTCCTGCGTCAGCACAGCTCTTCCGGCACTCAAGTTCATTTCAGTAGCTAAAATTTGGCTCCTCACCCCCAAGAACATCGAGGTCTGGCTCTTTGCAAGTGGTGCCTGCTAGACTTGCACATTAATTTATTAATTTCAGGGAGAAAACGAGAAAAGGGGAGAAAGAAGAGAGCTTAGGAGTGGAAAAGGAGCAAGAAGGTGGCTCAGGAGCAGCCCCACAGCCTGGTGGTAGCAGGGTGAGCCACAGTGCTCTGCCAGGAGATCAAAACAAGTGGATCCACCCTCATAATCTTCTTCTTGCACAACCCCTGACATGGCTGTGTTTCACACTGAAATGAGGTGAATAGAGGACAGACTGCTGACTTAAACAACATTTAGAGGAGATAGAAGTGGATTTTTAGGCAGTCCTTACAGCCAGTTCACTGAATAAACTGACAAGAATAAAGGATGTAGTAAGCAAGTTGGTTTTTGTATCAGAGTGCAACTAATTTAATAGTTACCAAACCAAACTCCTGCCTTCTGGTGTTTTGAATTCTGAGGTATGAAAATAAAATGTGTGAAGTACAAAATAGGATTTCTAGATGGTGGGAGTGAGCAAGATTTTATTAAGGATGTTTGTTTAAATACTGCTACAGCAGATGTAATACAGATCATAACATCTCACTAAGTCACAGGAGTTCAAGAGTTGAAAATGGCCATTTAAAACTTGTGTGTATAAATAAGTGTCAGAGAAACTGAATAAATTCTTTTCTCTTGAAGTTGAAAAACCTTCTCAGACAATATAAATGACAGGAATTTCATCTTATTCACCAGTAAGCCTTTCCAGAGCAGTCAGTGACTCACAGATTCAATGTCAGTCCTAAAAGCCTTCCAACCTGAGGAGAATATGAAATGATGAAGCATCCTCTGCTGCACATCTGCTTGAAGTACAGCATAATGCTGTTTTAGCACCCTTGATTTCAGGAACACAGGCACCAGTCTCGCTGAACACCCCTGTTGTGGCAAGACAGGACTGTCCCTTTTCTGTGGAGTTTTTTGTTTAGATTTGTTTTTTGGGGTTTTTTGGGGGGAGTTTGGGTTTTTGGTTTGTTTTTTTTTTTCCCCATCTTCAAGCACAGATAGCCAAGGGGGGAAATAACTGACTGATTGATTACTTGTGACTACTGAGCAAAGGCCTCTTTAAAGAAATGTCTTTGGGCTTAAGCAGACAAAGTCATCACTTGAGAGCCTGTTGATTTGCAGTAGGAAATCACTTAAATAGATATTCTTCCTGGAAAAGTCCTGTCTGCTGCTTTGCAGAAGTTCAGAGGGAACACTGTGCTTTGCTTCGTCATCACTTACAACGTGTAGTATTCCTGTAGGAGTGCAAAGATATTCCTCAAAGACTGGACAAATCATGTTACAAACCAGTTTGTCTTCTGCTTTGTTTATTCTCTGAGACCAACAGAGAAATTTTCAAAAGTTAGTGACATAATATCTTGGCCATTGATTATAGCAGGATTCAACCCAGCTGTGCTGGAAATGTGCTGTTAGTTTGGACAAGCAATTGCACCCATTGGCACCTCATGGCCTTATTTGATTTAGGACAGAAGTTTCACAATTAGCTTAAGCCCATCTGAGACTGCTGCCAAAGGGACATTTCTCCCCTCTCACATCAGACCAGGCACCCACATGCTCATGCAATAAACTGATCCATCTGAAAACCAGCCTGGGGTGGGGGCAAAGAGGGAGAGATTACTTTTTCAAGTCAGAAAGTTAAGCAGGAAGCCAGAATGTTGCTGGGGCTTATGGAATGGGTGGACTGGCAACAAGGATGTGGGAGATGGAGAGGTGAGACCCCCACCTCTGAGGCAGTGGGATTCTGCAGGTGAGGGTCATTTGAAGCCCTTTAGATGCAGTGGCAAACCAAGAGGGTTTGCTCTGGAGGGAGAAGCAGGTTGTGCTGAGTGTGTTGGAGAGGCTGTGCCTCAGGTTAGCTCTGGGCTTGTCCCTGTGGGAGCCTGCTGTGCTGGGTGAGCTCCTGGAGTGTCTCTTCCACACAAACTTGTGTGGGTGCACCCAGTGTGTACCTGGGGACACCACTGGTACTCACATTTTCTGAGATGTCGAGGTGCTCCCATCATATGGAAGTATTTAGGGTCTGTTTGAACTCTCCTGTTTGGGGGTGAGAGGCAGGAATGTAGCAGAGCTGGTGTTGAGCAAGAAAAGAGAGACCCCAGGGATTAGTCTGGTTTTATCCCCACAAGAAACTGAATATTTTCTGTGGTTATGGTTTGAAGCAGTGGAGGTATGCCAAGGCTGAAGCTTAGCTCCTGTTGTGTGTGTGTGTGTGTGTGGCTCCTGTTGGCCATGGTGCACTCAATGTTTTCACTCAATGTTTTCACTCAGTGTTTTCACTCAATGTTTTTACTCACTGTTTTTCCTCTTTGTGGTCATTCCCAACAGGGAGCTCTGCTCTTCTCAGCTCCTGGCTGCTTCACCAAAGCAGTTTGTGAACTCACACTCTAGTTTAAATGTGCCTTCAATAGAACAGCATCCTTAATTTGCCCTTTGGTGGTGTTTTGTGCAGTTCAGTGTGCTTAATCACTTATTCATATTTTTCATGGGTCACTCTGGTAGTAAAAGACAGCAGGGGGCACCAAATCTGCATAATTCTGTTAAAATTGCAACATCAAGGTCCATGCTCATAAAATTTAAGTTATTAGGCATACTTTCAGTTTAACAGTTATTATGCATATCTTCAATTTAACATCTGTAATTTCATTCCAGTACCAATATTTTCTAAGATACCTCCTTGCTTCTCCTTGCAGTGCTGGAAGTTGGGGCTGAATTTCCACAAAAATAAACATTTGGGCCAGTAGCAGATTTTCTCCTACCTGTTGTCATCCCATTTCCTTCCCTACTTGGTGCTGTAGGCTCCAGAGTTCATACCCAGGGAGATACTCTCTCTAATACTGAATTCAGGAAGCTGTTTGTATTTGCAGAATTGGGTTACCTGAAGGCTCTGCTTTTCAGTGCCAAAGTATCCTGATATTTGCATAATATCAGGATACTGATATTACTGAAAAGATTTTGTGCTGAAATTAGTGTTGAACTATCTAAAGGACTTCTCAATGGCCATGCAAAATGTTTTCAAGCCCAGAATTACTAATGTAGCTGCCTCTGTTCTTTTGGAGAAGCTGGAACTCAACTGTCTTATAGGTTTTTCAAGAAAAAATCCTCTGCAAAATAAAGAGGAAATGCAAAATATGTTCTCTAATGGTTCTTTGAGTATTGATTTAAAAATAATCTGTGAGCATGGATCTGATTCAAAAGCCTTCCTAAACTGAGTGGTTCATGCTCATGAGACAGCTGTGGGTACACTCAAAGTAAACCCTATTATTTGTGTATGTAACACACAAGTATTATTTGTCCTTTGGAAATGCTTCAGGGTTGGATCCTCATTTGGTAACACACAAAGAAAAGTAACATTGCAGTTTGACAGATACTTTTAGAAATCTAATAATTGATTAATCTATAAATTGTGAGCTACTGGTAGTGTATTTCTGTAATGCTCTCAAGCCTTGCTGAGATGGTCATCACATGATTTTTTTTTTCCTGCCCTGCATGCCCAGTCTTGGATTTCTATTCTCCTAAATTTAAAATCCTTCTTTGAAAAATCAGACCATAAAGAGAGAGAAAGAGTCATGCAACTAGGAAGAGAACATAGGTCTGAGATATGTCTGCTCATCCTGTAGTTCCTTTAGTGACAGATTCATAAAATAATTTGGTTATTTGAATTCTAAGTTCAGCTGGTTAGCTGCATGCTTAAATAAGTAGCATTTCCAAGCTTATTTATGTACTTTAAATGTAATCACTCATTGGGTAGAACAGGCAAACAACAGACCTGCTAAGCTTTCCAGAACAGCATGTTCTTACAAGCAGTTGCTATTGTTTCAATCAGCAGGCAAAAAATCATCTTGTCAGATGACCAAGGCTCAGGTGACAGCAAATAATGTGCATATTAGCAGCTTGGTAAGTGTCTAACATCACCTGTCCTGCTCTGTGCTGAACTGGTGGCACATGCTCCACTGATCTGTGCATGTACAGTACACCCAGTTTTTTGGAATTTGGGCAGATCTGAAATGTTAAAAGTGAGAGCTAGAAGTGTGGTTTCCTCCAAAATACAACTGGAATTATTCTTCATGGTTGATTTACTGAGCATTTTCTCTTTGGGATCACAAATCTTGTATTTTGGATTGTGTGGTTTCACAGATTCACAGACCTTACAGCATTATTGTGAAGAGAGGTACATTAAATATTGGGAAGAGAACTAATACTGCCGTAATGGGGATTGCATGAATATCTTGTGTAGGTAGACTCCACATTACCATTGATTTCTTTGGAGACAATTTACACCCCTGAACTTTTGGCTTCTCACAATAGCAGGTTAAAATAATGATTTCAAAACCATACTTTACAGTCACCTGTCAAAAACTGTGTAAGACTATAAGTAATAGATTTGGATGGTTCCTTAATCATCTGTAGGATTACTGTGTTTTTTGTGTCTCCATAGCTCTTAAACCTTGTCAGCTGGAACATCTCTGGAAGCATCCAAGGTCAGGCTGGATGGGCCTTTGAACAACCTGATGAAGCAGAAGCTATCCCTGGATCTGTGTGTATGACAGTTCTGAAGGTGGCTTATGGAAGCGTGGCTTGGTTGGCATTTTTACATTACCATTAATGTCATGTAGAGAACATGCAAGTTTAGTGATGTGTTCTCACTTTCGTGTCTTTGTAATTTTTTAACTCCTAATTTAAATCACTTTTTGTAGTTTCAGATTATTACATTTTACCCTGTCTGTGGTGGATATAGAATACTGTATTTCCACACTTACTTCCACTTTACATTTATGTTTTCATGTGTGTTTACAGAGTTTTCTTTTGGTGTAATGAGCTCAGCTCTTTCTGGTTTATCTCCAATAGCTCTAATATCTCCTGAATTATCTCAAATATGTGCATGCAGCTTTCAAAAGTGTAATGTCCCAAAATGTCACTTCTTCACATCTTCAGTGCTACTTTTTGGCTTATGCATCCCAGTACAGTGTTTTCTGTTTTCATTCTGGATTGATATCATTCTGTTTGTTCCATTTGTGATAAAACATGCACCTATTTTTCTGAGTACTGCTGCATGGTGTTGGGAAAATGTAGCTGGTTTTAGTAACCATGATTCATCATCAAAATGAAAGGATTCTGCACATGGGATTTGCAGGATCCTACCTCAGATCTAGCACTAGTCAGGACTTCCATTAATATTTTGGATAACATGGTAGAGAGGATTATTAAATAGCATCCAGTCATGAGCTGCAGAGCATCCCTTAACTGCCTGTGAAAGGATAGGATGGAAATTGAGAATCATTATGAGAGTTCAAGAAATCAGGGTGAAAAGTATACAACACTCAACAAATTAAAATGAGAGCTACTTCATTTAGGTAGGAATAATTAAATACACAAGAGTAAGAGTGGGAACAATCAGACAGCACTGTGAAACATTTCGGGGCTAGTATATATGGCTTTAATTGCTCATTCTTTTTCCCAAGACCTATTACCTTTTTATAGAAAGAATTTTGTTTAGTTTCATACAATTTTCCTTTGATTAATCATTGGTCCTTGCTATTTTTTTACTGCTCTCTTCTGGATGCTTGTTTAATTTAAATAAAGAGAAAAATAATGGAATAAACAATTAAATATGCCAAAATATTGACTGTTCCACAGCTATTTCATTTTCTTAAGATAGTTTTTATCTTTACCAATCTTCTGGAACCTCATCTGTCTTTCAGGATTTCTCAAATATGCAGTCAGTCTGAGATTATAGCAACTTCTGAAATACAAACCAGACTGGAAATGTGTGTCAGTCTCCTTAAATAAATTCACTTTCCTGGAGGGACGTTTCATGCATATCTCAGACTGCCTCACTATGTTCTATAGTATGTAAGAAACATTTTTATTGCTGTCAAAGATAGTAAAATATTACTTTTTGTGGAGAATCACATTTCCACAGTATATAGAGATGCCATAAAACTTGCATATTGAAGCAGAATCTCATTGAAGAAGTTGTATGGACAGAAGGGGGAATATCTGCTGCACTTGTGAATTTGAGAAATATTCAGATATAAAGTTGTGTGGCAATCCACTTTCACAACATAATATGACAGTAAATTCAGATACCTCAGATTTGCAGGGTTTGGAAGGCACGTATGATGTTCAGAGACAGAAGACACTAGAGTTAACAAAAGAGACATAAAATGAGCTTATACAACTATGATCTGTGCAGCTTTGGACTGAAATACAGTCAGGGAATTGCTCTTGGTTTATCTGGAGATACCAAACAAGAGCAAATCCCTGACTATTTTTTTGCTCTTTGGTATCTGGAGATTCCCCCCAGCTTGGTTTCACACCTTGCCAAGGAATTCAAACAAGCTGAATGTACCTTTGCCTTGCAGCACTGCTAAATTATTGTTCCTACAACAGGGATTTCTAAAATCAAAGTTTTCTTTTTCTTTCTGGCTGTGTAGTGGGGAACAATGGAAGATTTCATGCAGTTTCCATGTGCTTTTTTGTAGTTAAGAGCATATTCTTATTGATTTAAAATAAAATCCTACACCTGACAACAAAGAATACTGATAAATATAATCAAAGAACAGCAAACAGTCTAATGTGTTTGGGTTCAATTCAGGCCTGGCAACCCTGCAGGATGAAATAATCCATGTAGGATAATTCTGGAATGGGCAAAGGCAGAGACAGTCCCTGGTGCAGTCTCTGGATTTTAGTGTGGAGTTTCCATTTGTTGGAGCAGAAGGATAATTAAGTTTTTTGTTCCTCTTCGCTTGCACCGAGATGATTAGCAGGGGAATCTCACGCTGCTGAGTTTTGCAAGGCAGACACTTTTCTGATAAGAATTGAATTTGCTCATTTCAGGCAGTGTGATAAACAACCATCAGAGGACAGCTTCTCCCAGCCGGTGTCGGGCACACCTTGCCGTGCTCAGCTCTCTGGACTCCTCAGCTGAGCATTTAGTGAGCAGCACATCAAACTCTTTGCTCAGCTGCTTCAGGTCATTTGCAGTAATTCTGCTTCCTTCCTTGGGATGCACTTCTTCCTCTTCAAGGTGAGAGTTCAGTAAGTCCATTTGTGGACACAGCTCATCTTAATTCATTTTCCTAGTGACTTGTGGTACTTTTGTGATATATTTTTTTTTCTTTCTGGGAATAGATAGATTTCTGGGAATCTATTACTCTGTCAGTCTGCTCCAGCCACCTGCCCTATTTATGGGCATTTTAACAGAAGGAAGTTAATAGAAACTCATATTGGGTGTGAATTTCCCTTTCACTAATTCACACTATTCTTGCTGGGGATGCTTCAGTGTTAAAGGAAAATAGCTTACAGTACTTTCAAGGCCAGATTGCTTTCTCCCAGCAAGACAAAGTGGCCTTAGTGGGAGCTAGGGCAGCTAAGCTGCAGTGCTTGGAAATTTACACCCTAATTATCACAAATTAGCTTTTCCATCCAGGCCAGAACAAATATGTGGAGAAACTCAGAAGGTTGTCCAGTGTGTTACCTTTTCCTACAGAGTGATCTCCACTGAGTGCATGTGGGTCATACTGAGAGCATCTCAGTGGAAAACTCTTTTGCAGCTCAAATTAGCAAAAGTGCTTTCTGATTTTCAGTTCCCTGTAAGTTCAAAGTACCTCTCAGAAGGCAGCATGCATGTAAATTACAGCAGTAACTGATGGATTGGAAACACCTGTACTGCTAAAATGTCGTGTTTGCTCCCATTTCAAGCCTGAGTCCCCCAGCTTGGCTAGCTTGGCTTAACTCAATAGCTTTGCTTATGTTAATTGCTTCAATGGACACAGAATTATTGCCACTAAAATGAATGCTTCAGAAGCCAAAATAACCTCTCACTGGAATAATTGTTGAAAAAGATTTTTCTTCTAGAACACTATGTCCTCAAAGAAAACCTACCTGGAGTTCATTTGATTTTGAGAGTTGCTTTACTTGCAATCCAAAACAAGCTCTTACAAAATCTCTTTGGGAAGAAAAATAAAAGTTAATTTCTGTTATGTGTTGTTTCACAAAAGTTTATAGGTCAACAATTTATGTAGCCCAGTCAGCAAGAAATACACATATACCATCTACTTCTCTGAATCAGAGAGCTGGCTGATGTCAAGGTAATTGCATTGGTATAAGGCTGTTGTAGCTTCAAGGAGATGAGAGCTGAGTTTTTCTATAGAAGAACTAAATACCTTGAACAGAGAAGAAGACTTTGTGTGGATGAGTGCCTCTGTGTGCAGTGCTTGTGAGTCATGATATTTTCCAAAAGGCTGTTTAACTTTCTGAAGTTGATGTGAGTCATAGTTCTCTTCCCAGGTAATGACTAGTTAAGATCCCATTTAGCTCTTCCATTTCTCTAGTAATCTCTGAGGCCCGTGTTTCATTGATCTTCCAGGGAACAGCAGCTTCAGAACTCTGAGTGACAGCTGAGGGCTTTAGGAAACAACACAGATCCTTCCATTTGGAGAGCACAGATGACTAGAGCTGGAACCTGTCACTGCTCAGTCACTTTTGTCACATTAAAGTGACAATTGGTTTAACAAAAGAAAGCTTGTACTAACTGTTTAATTTAGGTACAAAACGTACAGGATTGGGGAAAAGATGACTTTGAATGACACAGAATAAAAATAGGCACAAGGGCAGGTTTTTTACTTATGACATCACAAACTCTTTTTCTCCTATCTATTGCAAGAGTTAAACTGAGTATTTCAGAGGGCATACAGAATATATTAAAGATCTAGACCCAAACTTATCTTGTGGTTTAGGGAAGTTTATCTAGACATTTCAAAGTTACAGAAAAAAAAACGAATCACAGAATGGGTCAGGTTGGAAAGAACCACAGTTGATCATCTGGTCCAACCTCCCTAGGGTCATCCTAGAGCAAGTGGATTGTGTCCAGATGGTTTTTGAATATTTCCAGGGAAGGAGACTCCACAAGCTCCCTGGGTGCCCTGTTCCAGTGCTCTGTCACTTGCACAGTAAGGAAGTTCTTCCTAATTTTCAGGGGGAGCCTTCCTGTGTTCCACCTTCTGCCTCTTGCCTCTTGTCCTATTGCTTGTCACCAGAAGGTAGAACAGAAACTGAAATACTTGCAATACAAAAATACAAAATGCATTGGAATCTCTCAACAGGAATTCAATCCTTCTCTTCTTTGTAAGAGATAGGTAAATTGCAGAGAATCACCTTGTCTTGCTTGTTCTTCTTCAGACTGGCAATAAAAATACATTAGGATGTTAAAGCCAGGATGTATTAAAGATTTATATTTAGAATAAAAATCATCTTTCAGCACAGTGTTCTCAAGAGATTTCTTGCTAAACATGTTCCCAACTCCTCCATTGCCACCTCCAACCTTTTCTTCTGGTATTTTTCCAATTTACAATATGAATTCTTCAGTACTTGTTGTCAAATGCTAAGATAGTTTTTATAAGGGATTTTAGCTGAAGTGACTAGAAATTCTAAGTGATACAGAGTGCTATAATCATTAGTTTTACTCCTACAGTTAAAAATATCCCTATTTATGGCTTTTCTATTTTCTCTGGTTTAACATGAGGAATATGTTCCAAAGTTACAAAAGCTTAGGGGATCAGTTTGGAGAGGGTTTAAATTCAGTGTTTTAAAAGAGTTGCATTGCTGATGTATTAGTAATACAAGTCATGTTTTTTGGCAACTGATTTATTTATTATTTTCAAACAGAGATCAGTCAAACCTGATACTAATTTAATGAGGTAGAGGACAAGGCGACAGGGCTACAGGGGTCCTGAGCTGATGGCCACCAGATAATTCCTACTGTAACTGCAACACATGCTGCTGTACACCTTGCATGGCCTCTCCTTCCTTTTGTACCACAGATGAGCCCACCTCTCATAAAACTGCATCAAAACCAACTTTTCTGAATTAATAAAGCCATAATTGAATGTTTATATATTCATTAGTCAACACGGTTAGCTATGCAGACCATATTGTAGCTATTCATTTATGCCTGCAAGTTAAAAATGACTAAGACCATTAATTCACTGAGAACACATATGTCAGTTTGGTGAAATACTGAATTTTTTTTTCCTAAATTATAGCAAAGACTCCAGGTCTAGGTTTTCTGCAACAGATTGTTATTTTTGGGACAGCAGGGATGAGCATTCAGTATCAGTCTCAGTACAGAAAGACAAAGAGCATTTAGTTTAATTGGAGAGAATTTAATCATCCTCTGAGAAGGAGAACTTTTGAAGGGCATTGCATATTTGACTTTGTTCTGGCATCTCTGTTCACAGTGATGGAGCCATGGGGTGTGATCTGATACAGCCTGCAGTGGGTGGGAGCACCAGCAGGTCCTGGGGATTAGCAGAATTTTACAGGGTGGGAAAAAAATGAAATATTGTGAAAATCAGAGGAAGCCCAGAATGTTATTTCAGTGTTTGGACAAATGCATATCTTATGCAAATTGTCTTATTAGAGGTCTGCTGGGTCTTCAGTGACTAATGAAGGATTTCTTATGAGAAAGCTTATTCAGAAAATATGTCATTCCTTTTTCATTTCTTTGATGGAATTCAGTTATTCAGAATTGATGAAGTTGTAACCCACTCTCTCCCCAGCACAGACACAAATTAAATTCCTTCTTGGCAGGATTAAGCAATGTTAGCAAGAATTACTTCTGTAGGCTTTCCATGTATTGATTTGAAGCAAAATAGGTAATGTAAAAGGCAATTAAGACTGTTTCAGATATTCCATGTTAAGATCTTTCTATTCCCTTCATGGGCTCCCATTTTTATGTTTGGCTTCCCCTCCAGACTAAAGGTCAGTTCAGAAGAATCTTCTTGGGAAAAACACACAGATGCTATTTTGCCAGTGCTGAAAATCTCATTACTAATTTATGGAAGGTTCCTGCTTTCCATGTATTGGAAGGATTTCACATCTGGAAGGAGGTAACTTTTGCACAATGAAGACGACTTCTCCTGTTGCCATGAATAATTATGGTTTTGTCTAATTCTAATCCTTCTGAAAATTCCACATATAGACATTAGAGATGTGCTGTAATTAAGCAAATCCTTTCCCCAATCCATTTCACTTTAAAGCAGGACCTCCCCTGCAATTGCTTTTTCCTCTTGCTTTTTCTACTCTGTCCTGGAACCAAGGGCAGAGACCCTGTCCTTCTGGGGGGTTGATATCCTGTCAGATATTTCACCACTGGTGAGGAAGCAGTTTTGATGAGCTCCCAGGATATAAAAGCTGGATTTAGAGGAGGTATGGAAGTGAGAGGCAGTAGATGGACCAGGCTGAGACTATGAGCAAACAAGAAGATAAGGGAAAAACAGGCTAATGGGAAAGAACTGTGCAGTAGAGGGACAGAGGAGGCTGGAGCAATGAGGAGAAAAGAATATCTTAAGAATTAAGAGGTAGAATGGCATCTATGCTCACAAAGTTGCCCCACTAATCCTGGAGGTAATGGGAAAAGTCACAGATTCCCTGATGACAAACACTCTTGTAATTGCTAGCAGATCACTGGTGTCATGAAGAATCAGCATGTGTCCTGCCAGTGGTGCTGGTTATCAGAGCATGGCACAGAACAGAACTGAGATCACTCTGTTTGCAGCTGGGGGATCTGAGCTGCAAACCTGAAGCCCCAGTTTTGCCAGGGGCCATTATGGATATGAGTGGGATCCTGTGTAATTCTGATACAGGCTGGAAAGGGAACAGCAGAAGCAAAGCAACTATAGTGTCATGCTCTGAACAGTCTTTGCTCTTTAGGAACATTTCTGTATCACATATTAATTAATCTATGCTTTCAAAAGTGGATTTCTATAATATGGAGTTTGTAGCCTAACAGGAACCTTACAAACTTCACCAGGGGCAAATATAAAGTTGTGCAGTAAGCAGGGAATAAGCCCTGGCAATGAAACAGGCTGGGACCTGACAATTCTGCTGGAGATGGACTGAGACAGGCAGTGGAACAGGTTGCCCACAGAAGCTGGACTGTTTCTGTCCATGGAGGCTTTCCAGACTGGTTCAGATGAAACCTTGAGCAATAAGCCTGACCTTGCCCTGTCATGCTTTGCCCAGGAGGTCAGACTAGAGACAGCCTGAAGTCCCTTCTGACATAAACTTTCCCGTAATCTTATGATAATGTACTTAAAATTTATTCATCCAGGTCCTACAAAAAATGGTGAAAACAGCTGGCAGTAAAATGAGATTATTGTCAGTGGGTTTGTGAACTATCTTATTCTTGGAAATCTGAAAATGAGACTTCATTAACAAAATGTCACTTGCCTCTATTATTGCAAAGGTAACCTTTTGAAAATGAACTGACCATGAAATAACAGAGTAGTTTCATCTAGAATCTGCAGATAATCTGAAATAATAATGCACAAGGGTATGAAATGCTTCTATTAATCTCTGTGTGATATTAGTGGTAAAGCCCAATGATAGTAATTTGTATATAAGCATTGTTAATAATTTAGTATTACTTAAGGTTCACAAAAGAGAGAGTCACATGTATTATTAAAAAATAATCTGTGAATGAGAGTTCTGTACTATAATTAATATAATTGCTTTAACAGGCATTCAGTAACATGTTACACTTAAACAACAAGAATGTAGCAATAATATATAAATCTTAAAACTATTAACTACTTTGGCTGAGGGTGTATCACCTTGTGGATGGATTTACAGTGATTTTAGCCTCCCACTTCAGGGACTTATAAGCAAGCAAGCCTTATAAAGACTTGTCCTTTAGGTTTATCCAGTTGTGGTAATTATTTGGGAGTTGAAAGGACTCATTAGCAGTCCCTTCTCATCTCTGATGCTGTTCTGTAAATTAGCCACTGGAAATTTCTTTAAGTACCTTCAAATTCTTTCATTATCTAGCACAAAAGGTCATTTCACATAAAATCAAGTGCTCTGAGACCTGCTAATGTAAGGACATGCTGAACTTGTGAATCTATTAAATCTGTTATCACAATCTGTTTTCACAATTGGATGTTGTTTGTTTTTGAGGGTTGTCTACTGCTCACCAGATGTTCTCTGTTATATTTACCTAGTGACTGAATTTTCATGGCTCCTTCATAGAGGTCCTCCCAAAGTAAAAAACCATCCTTAAGTAAAAAATCCCCAATCCTGTTTGTGCTTTGTGCTATGGTGATATTTGCAGAGTGATAGCTTTGAAAATCAGCATCTCAGTACTGTTTGTACAAATGCAGCACCACCATCTATCTGCTTGTGATGACTCTGTGTGAAATTGAGATCAGACTGTACTGCAGTCATATTTTTCAACAAATGTGCAAAATAAAGAGAAATTCTTTCCGCTAACAAGCAGCAGATCCAAAGAGGGATAACTAGCATTCCAAAATTGTATCTGCTTAAGGAAAGCAAGAGCCCTCACAATCTTTTGTAAAATCCTTTTCTCCATAGGGTTTATATAGACACTGTCACGATCTGTTTGTGGCTGCTGTGGGACAAAGCCAGCTCATGTAAAAACTTGTGCTAGGAACTGTTGTCAAGTTTGAAACTTCTTGTGTACCCATTATCAAATATATTTTTAAAAAAGAGCCTCTGGTTAAAGATGAAACCCCTTTTTAATCAGTCTGAACAGAATTTACTTTCCATTTCTTACCTCTCTACTTGGTCTGCAATTCATCTCATGGTTCAGCTTTCTGACTATTTATTCTGTTGCATTCCTGAGTTACAGGTGTGAGCCACAGAGAGAGAGAGAGAGAGCAGCAATCCCTGCTGGAAATGGCTTGGGAATACCGGGGAGGAAGCAGGAGCATTGGTGAGATTTTGAGGACGGAAGAGTGAAAGATGAAGTGCTAAATCTGAGACTGTGGCTGCTAAAATGAGCTGCTGAACACCAGAGAGCAAGAATTACTGCATTTCCTGAGAGTGCTGCAGAACCTCTGAGCCTTTTATTTCCAGTAGTAGAAACCCACATGGGTCTCAGGAAGTGTTAAAATGACAGGTTTTGAAAGAACAGTTTACCATCAAGGCAAAAAATATATTTTATATGTATAAAATAGGTATCTTATGCTCTGTGTTTATCTGTTTTCCCCATTCCAGGTCCCCTGAGCAGATAATGCTGCAGTCTCAGCTCCCTCTCCCTCCACCCTGGCTGCTGTGCTGAACATCATTTCAAAAGAGCACAGCTGGGTGCTGGACTGTAATTTCTCATGCAGCTCAGATCAAGTCCATTAGTTTATTTGAAGGTTAGGACCAAGACCATGGAGGTGCACGAGGAGCTAATAGACAGACCGGTGTTCCTGCTGTGCTCACGGGGGCTTAAACCAGGGAGAAAATAGTCAGGCACATCCATATTATTTTCACCTTTTGCTTCACCATTTGCAGCAGTCTCATTCATAAATGACAAAGAAACAGCTCCCTGCTGTGAGGTCCTCATACCACAGAGAGCTGTAATGAGTTTGTAACGAGATGGAGATAAGGAAGGTTTTTTTGTGATTACTCAGACAAATCTCTGAGTGCAAATCAGAGGGGTATGTCTTTCCATCACTCTCCATGGCTTAAACATCTGAGGATAGTTAAGGAATTCTCATGGCATTTTGTAAGAAGAACTCAGTAAGACAAAAATGTTCTAAATGCATCTTTATGGATTTCTTGCCTTCATTGTATGTCAGAATCTTTTGTAATTTGACAGCCACCAGCAGTGATTAATGGCTGGCAATATGGCTGGGGGCAATGTGTGTCTCAAAGTCAGTATCAGGGAAGCCTCTGTGATCTGGGAAGTCTTTGGCTCTGGAACTGTCTCCTTGCAAAATCAGAAACAAGTGTTTTGCCTGTGTGCTCCGTGAAGAGCTCCAAATAAATAGCTGGAATATTAATGAAGATGAGAGTGAAAAACAGGGAAATATTCACCTTGGAGTGTGGTGCTAATCTGAGATTTAAGGGTTGTTTCTGTTTCAGTCTTTTATGACAGCTATAGTAAATTTATATTTTTCATATGTATGCATATATATTTGTGGAGGTGTATACATATAAATGCTCCAGAAAGAAATATTTTATTTTCATTTCCTTAGAAGAATCAGGTGTTTTCTGTGTTGAATCTTAGCATGGGTAATATATATCCAGATATTAAAGTAACCATGGCAAAATAATTAAATAAATCTTTCCAAAGATGACTCCTGTACCTCATTCACTGTTCCTTTCAAAAGGTATGGTTATGAACAAACCATTTACATCCACAAGTACATGCTCTATGGGATTTCAGGTACAAAAAAATTAAAAGGTCAGACAATTACAATAAATAGGTTTACTGCATCCCTGTATAACATAAATCTCATTTCTATTTGCCATGTCCTGTCCTTCTTAATTAAAGCATCAGACCTCACATACAGTTTGGAGCAGCTCAATTATGAAAGGTCAGATCCATCAGTTTATTCCTGATTGGTTTATTAATTACTGGCCTTGGCTCTTGATTCAAATCAACACTCTTTCCTCAGGATAAAAGTGGTTATTATGCTACAAATAATATGTTACAAATAATATACTGTACTTTAAAACAAAAATATATTGGAAACATTTACAAAGAAAGCTTCCACTGGACTTGGCTTTGATGGAGTTATGTTCTCTTGTGCCATGAAGTCTGACTTTCACAGGTGACCACTGGCAAATTTTTAAACAGTGTTGTTACTGAATCCCTTTAATCCATAACAAGAATGGAAAAAATGCTGTGAGCTGAAATTCTATTTCAGTTTTATAAGGATACAAATACATAACTTCAAATACATCAGCTTTCAAATACGTAACATTCATCCATGGTTTTCAAGATATTTTTAAATGGGATTTCTGATGGTTCTCTGATAGTTTCTCACAAAACTTTTTGCTTGCAAACCTACTCTATTGTGCCAGCTCCAAAGAAGTGGAAGAACTTTTGATGGTAAATCTAAACCAGGTCTGCAGAAACAGCTAAGTTGTGTCGGGAGACACTGTGGATGCTGTTAAAGACAAGGTACTAATGGATCTATCCATTAAAAATAAGAGAAGGCAGGAGCTTGCTCTTCCTTTGTTATTTTAATGTATTTAATTTTATCTGTCCTTCAGCAACTTGGATATTGCATACACCTGAAAGCAGTGGCAGTTAAGAAAGGTTTTATTTATTTACATTTACTTTAACAGTAAACGCCTTTTTCAGCTGATGGGAAAGGGCAAACTGATCCTGCTTTGCTCAGCTGCTCTGCTTTGGTTCATGAGCTCTTGGGCTGTGCTCCTGTCCCCTCTGCCTCAAAGGATGGACACTCCACCGCTGGTCTGAGCCTGGGGAATGCTTCACCCTCTTTCGCTGTCCCTGCAAGGAAAAAAAAAACCCAAAAACTTCAAAACCCCCCATCAAAGCACTTCAAGTTTAGGCACATAATTATCTTCTCAAGATTTGGCCCGAACTGATCCCAGCCTACGCTCCTTCCTCTCACGCTGTCGTGACAGGATTTCAGTCAGGAACACGCGGCTCTCTCTGCCTGCAGACGCGTTCGAGCGGCAGCG